GAATTCAATGTGATTCTATCTTATAAAGCCTAAGTTGATCGAGTAATTAGCCTAAAGAGTATTTCCATACTTAATGGCCTAAGCCCAATTAGGTTGAGATCTGTTAGCCCAAAACTCATTAAATGGTCACTTAGAAAACCCGTTAAAGTAGAAAAAAAATCACCAAGGAAGAAAGAGTTGAAAAAAATTTGTTTTATGTATATAGTTATATGGTCTTAAAAAATATTTTTGATCAACCAACTAGAAAATTATTTAAAACAAAGAGTTAGCAAGTTCTTTTCAAACTTTTAATTAAATTCCTAAGTTTGACTTGGTTTTGTATTGCTATAATGAGAAGATTTTCTCAGAAATTTACTTTGGAGTTATGTATAAAACCATTTTCTTGAGTAATAACTAGTTTTAATTAGATTGTCTAAATTTATCAAGAAAATTTAGTTATTTACTGACCTCTTTAATTTGACAAGTTGACAAAATTTTATGGGTATATTCACTACAAACCCTCACGAGACTACAACTCGTCTACTAGGGTAACCTAGGGGTTTAAAGGTTTGTTGTATGCGCTAAATACAACCACGATTCCTACGAAAGTGGGTTTGAATTTTATTTTTCTTTCTTTGCTAGAGGACTAGCAAAAGTTTAGGTGTGTGTGTATTTGATAATCATATTTTTATTATAATTTTATACTCTTATTATCTATTTTATATAAATAAATATATCACTAATAATTATTTTTATCTTTAATTATAGGTTACTCAAAAATAAAGCCCAATATCTCTTTTCTCATCAAAAGCCTAGAAATATCAATGAAGAAAACAAGCATCAAGCCCAAAAGCCCAAAAGCCAAAAGCCGAAAGCCAAACTAAGAAGAAATCTGTGGATAGCAAAAGGAAGCATCTGGGCATCGATGCCCCCATCGATGCTGACGAAACAATTATGAATCTATGGCTAAAATTTGATTGTTTTGGATAAGATTTTGACTATAGGGCTCACATTCATTGATGTTTACTATAAATAGGGGTAGAGAGTGAGGGGTTGAGGGTGTAAAAAATTTTATAACTCCATTTGGAGAGGAGGGTTACTCTTAATTGAGAAGATCTTTTAATTTTGTAACTTTTTGTTACAATCAATAAAAGAATTTTTTCACCTCTTCATAATTTTTTTTCTTTTTTTTGTTTGATGATGAAGATGAAGATGGTATGAAGATGAAGATCAAGGGTGAGGTTTGCTTTCATCTTGAGGCTAAAACCCTCTTTGGTGATAAATTTCCTCTTTGTTAATATTTTTATCTTTTTATTTTCTTGCTTAAATAGGCAAGAGATTAGAACCCTCTTGCCTTAGATTTATTTCATGCTTATAGAGTAGATTGATTTTCTCGTGTTTAATTCTTATAATTTATTTTGTAGTTTAGTTTTTGTAATTTATTTTGTAGTTAGATTTTATTTTCTTATACTATTCACCTTGAGGCTAGAACCCTCTTGGGATTAGTTTTTATTTTCCTTTATTTTCATATTCTTTGATTCGCCTTGAGGCTAGAACCCTCTAGGGAATTGCATTTTCTTTTGAGGTGTGTTCAATTCTAGATTCCTCACATCTTTAATTGAACCATCATTCTTTTCTTTCTTTATTTTTCCTTTTCTTTTATTTTCTTGATTTTTATTTCCTTCGTTTTTCCTTTCTTTCCTTGTGATTTTATTTATTCTTTATCTATCACTCTCAATATCATTTTTACACACAATCATTCTCATTCTCTCCATCTCTCCACAATTACATCTATCATCACTCCTAATTGTCACACACACAACATACGAACCGATTCTAATTTTCTCCTACAAATACCTTCCTCATGGGATCGATAATTTTTTATAATATAACTTGATTAATTGTGCACTTGTAATTTTTGGCATATGTTTATGCCGCATCACCCTATCACCGACTCTCTGTTGACCCTCACTCCTTTATATGTAAATCCTAAGCTTACCCTCTCCAAAAAGCCTCCTACATCTTCAAGTCCCCTTGTCGCCATAAACCAGAAGATCAATGCTAGCCCTCATGCTGATGAAGATCATGGCTAGCCCTCACGTTGATGAAGATCAACCTATTGAATGTTAATACTGTTATCCTTATCCCCATTGACTTTGCTCTTCCGTCCTCTGCTCTTTCCCCCACAAACCTCCCTCGATTCTTTGAGATTGGTCAGGTTGTTGTAGCTTTATCGTAGCTTTGTTTGCTTTAGCTACAACAGTGGCCAATCTCAAAGAACCAGCAACTTCTCCCAGTCTCACCCAATTTGTGAGGGGAGGCCTCACCGTACATCCAATTGTTGGCTTCTTGATGCTAGTAAGTTCATAGTACCACAACTGAATATTAGAGAAATAGAAACTTAACAAACACTTTTATCCTTAACAATTAATAAGTAACCCTAACCATAAAAATGTAACATTAACAATCAAACACGTAACCTTGACAACCAAACTGTAACATTAACAACTAAACCCTAACCTTCACAATCAGTAATAAAAGATATGATAACTTACACAAACTAGCGGGGTACACTCTTACAGATATAAAGTCATCTTTCCTAGCTCAGGACCCTTCAGTGCCTTCTCTATCGTGTCAGATGTCTCGCTGAATATATAGGTCCCCCAAGTAGTGTTATTGGCATGTTCGATGTTGTCGACGTACTTGAATAAATACCTAGGAACGCCGGGAACACTACTTGGATACCAAATCATGCTCAGCTGATAGAGGATCTATAGCACGACAAAGTCTTTCACATCTCGGCGATCAGCCGATAATACCAGCTTCAGGAGCAGTTGCTCCATATTGCGTCTGGTGGGGTCTCCTTTAGAGGATCTATACTGCTGTCACCCTCGGCCTCGGGTTTGTTAAAAAGCCTGGGTCAAATCCTATTTTTCCTATCCCGGTTGTGGTCGACAAGATCCCCCTCATTGGAGAACCATGTATGTTCCATTACCCACTCAAGGTTGAATGAGCAAGCGATCTCTTCTCCAGCATTCCTATCTGTGAAGATGAATTTCTTCATTTTCTCGTTCCACTGACTCAAAATATGCTCAAAGGTGGGAAGATCGACATCAGGTGGGCCAAAATGGACGTAGTGTCTAAATACACTATCTTCATAGGCCGCAAAGTGTCTTGGCTCCATACGCTGCACCAAATTCCGCATGAACTCATGATAGACACTAAAGCTGGTGGTGGGCTGCAACGTAATAGTTGGCTTTATCCTTTTTCTACATAACAAAAACATAAGACATAAACAACAACCCCGTAACCTTGACAATCAAAGCCTAATCTCAACAACCAAACAACAACCTCAATAATAAAAGCATGAACCTTGCAGGTTAACAGTAACCTCAACAACTAACAGACACCAGTAATTTTAGACCTTCACAACAGACTAGAAGCATTATCAATTAAACCATAACCTTAACAACATAAAATTTGCGGTAAAAATTACTTTTTTTTGCTGCCATGAGCTTCTCTTTTTCTCCTCTCTGTAGATCAAGGAGCGCTCTAGTGGCATCATTAGACGCGGCGGTGGTGCCGTCTAGATCTGGGCGAGGGCCTAGACTTAAATTTTGAGGTGAACTTCTTGGTTGAGAATGGCTGGTTGCGATGTCCTCTAGAACATTAGCAATCACAACTTCAGCATCAGATTCAGTACATACTGTTGTTGTCTGGGCTCTTTTTGAGATTTCAAACTACAGGGCGGCATGGAGGCTTGCTTTTGGGGTTGAATTGCCGACAATTTTTTATCCCTTTGCTTTGATTCAGTGTGCGCTTTGGAGTCGGTTGGTTTAGGGATAGGGTTTTGAAATGGATTTCTAGAGTCGGTTCTCTTGGACAGAAGAGAGATGACAGTGTACAAACAACGAGGTAACTCATAACGGGGCAGTTTAAATCGAATGGTATTTTGGGCATTTCGTGAGGGGTTTAAACGGCGTTTCGCCTGGGGATTCGTTTTGGGAGCTAAAAGAAAATCACGGCGTATTTTGGGGGCAAAGCACCCATTGAAAAAGTCTTCGGGGGGGGAGGGGGGGAGCACGTTTTCTTTGGTTTTGGGATCAGGAAGCATTTTTCGCTTAATTTAATTTAATTGGGAGTTATGAGAAGGATGAAGGGGTATGGTTTATCTATGCATATATGTATATGTATTTTATGTATGTATGTATGTGTTTAATGGGTGCATGTATGTATTTTGAATGATATTTTTGGAAGAAAATATTTTAACATCCAACATACTTTTGTAATAGTCTGGGATTAGATAGATTGTTTGAGAATAGATTAAATATTAGCTAAGTATCTAAATGAGTGGTCCATTTATTAAATGGGTGAGCGAACACGAGTCTATTTAGCAAATGCTAAATAGGTCATAATCGGGTAAATGTGCCCATGATCCACCCAAACCCGTCCACTTGTATCAATTATATTATTCTTGCTAGTATGTATGATAGTATCCTTTCTCTTTGTAGTATTTTATGAATTACTTTTAAAATTATACATATTCTCCGTTCTTAATCTCATCGGTATTGTTCGTACTCTACTATATTTTTCTCCAACCAACTCACAAAGAAAAGAGATCGCTAAACTTCAACACTGAATCGCCATGGACCGCCTTAATCTTTTAGGAAAACCCAAAGACAGCATGTGTACGTCCATCAAATGAAATAAAAATTAACTTACATAAAATCTCTGACGTTTTATACACGTGCTTGATTTTAACGTGAAGTCAATGGACCAAATATTTTGATGTCCCCATCTTCCTACTGAGAACAACGTGCAAAACATTAAATTAAAAAAAGAAAAGAAAGAAGGTGAAAGCTTTAAAATATTTCTCCTCTCCCCCCATCCTCTTCTTCTTCTTGGGTGTCACTATACATAAGGAGACCAAGACCCACAATTAGTTGTAGTCATTAGCTCAGCAACAGTAG